TTTTCTACATAGTTTTGTATACTCATGCCCAACAACTTTGCTTTCACTTTTAAAAACTCATGACCAACTAACTTGCTTTCACTTTTAAATATGGTTATACATGAGAATATCATTTCAATTCAATTCAATTTTAAATCAACTTTCAATATCTTTAATATTATTAATATAATTGTTAGTCTAGGGACATCTTTGGTACTGCTTATTTGATCACAACAACAATAACGTCACCAATATGAGCATATCGACGATTACTAGCTCCTATCAACCCTCAAAAGCCCCATATGGTTCCCCGGTGTTGTTTAAACGGAAGCAAGATGAATCGAGAAACGAAAAAAGACTTCCATCTCCAAGTTTAACTCAGACGTAGCTCCCGCTCCCGTATCAGTCACTTCTATTCCTCTCATCAGACCTTCTGTAGCACTCATAGCTACAACTCTAACTCGATTATTTCGATTGAGGATGCTCGAAATTGCTCAAAGAGGCCTTCCCATTCTTCTTAATTTTTCTTTATAGTACAAATAATAAAGGAGCAATAATCCCTCTTGATAGAAGAAGAAAGAGTTTATTGCTCCTTATATTTATATTCTATTTCTTTTTCACTTTCCTTCACTTCGCTTCTAATTTACATCGGACCGCTCTGTGGGGTTCGTGAACGGCAATCGTAGGGCCGATCATTGTCGGTATAATGGTAGATGCACGGGACCACCGGCTGCTTCTATAAGCCGCATTTTTCATCATCTTTGCTTAAGTTTCATGGTTTTATATAACATATATATAAATACATATATAGGACTAACTTTTATACAGCAGAAGCGAAAATTTGCTCGTATGTTTTATCCAACGGCTACTAGAGTCACCAGTATCCTCCACGCTCTAAAACTCGGGCCGCCTTGATGGTTTCGGCTCAACAAGAGAAAAACACTATATAAAAATTATGTACATTCTCTAACTTTGTTTGATTGTCTTGTATTGTCCACTTTTCAAGATGCACAAATTTAGAACCCTATTTGATGTCGACGAGTGCGTTGACATTTCTCGACAAATATGATCGGTTTCGGTCTTTAGTTTGATTATTATTATATTTATTATTGGTATTTAGGTTTGTATTTATTTATGTAGTATTAGGTTTATGATGTTTGGGCTTTTAAATAATGTTGGTTAGGAATATGTTGTAATATATAAAAAGCAGATATGTTCTATTGGAGGCAGATGAACATCAGTTTAACAAAATTATTGTCTTCTTCGGTACAGAGGAGAAAAATAAAACTTCTCTTCAAAAATCATCTTCCATCACATAATCTGCTGCATCATTTGGTACCAGTCAACCGAGATGATTCACGATGCCACCACGACGCCGAAATGTCGAAATTGATGATCGATTTCAACATATGGATGATCGGTTGCAATTGTTGGATACTTGGGTTACGGATCTATATACCGAAATTGAAGACATATGTCTCACTCTTGTTACCTTGGTGCGGATCAGCATGACTGTGATGTTGTCGGTGGCCGAGGTGGTCGTGGGCTCTAAGAGGAGGTTGTGGTAGTCGCGGGGTTGGCGGGGCGCCCCGACAACTGCACCAACAGCCTATGGTCGGCGACAATGATAGTGATGCAATGTGGTCGGACGACAATCCCTTTGTCGAAGGTTTTTACCGCGACCGTGACCTTGATGGTTATAACCTACGACACCAAAAGGAGGGGTATCCGCACCTGTTTACGCCTAACCATCGGCCACAGGAGAGTGTTCAGGCTCCTCGGCGCGCGGGATTCGACGTGAAGCTCCAGATTGCAATTTTCAGGGATGGGCTAACCGCAATTTTCGGTGTGGGTCTGCTGGCGGTTTTGACGAGCGTAGGTGGCTGCTGGAGGGTCAGCGTAGGGCTTCTCCCTTTGATTACGACCGTGAGGACGTCGAACCTCCCTAGGATGGCGAGTTTGACAGTGGCAGAGGTCCTCCAGTACACCATATCTATGGTCGGGCTGAAGGGTTGTCGACAGCCGTTGAAAATTCGCTTTTTGGATCAAAATTCATAAAGCTAGTAACTTTGTATAGCAATAGGTCGTCTAATGACATAACTTGGTACAATACAGCAGGGGAAGATCCTTTAAGAAGCGCAAACCTCTGGTGATACTGCAACAGACTAAGGGCCAAATCGGTGAGGCGGTTACAAAAAGTGATCAACAAGGGACATGTGTATAGCCATAATTGAAAAGGAATAAAAAGAAATAATTGATCCGATGAAGGAAGAACGAAGCGTACTGAGATGTGTCAGTACATGTGTCCTGTAATAAATACACAAATGGATCCATAGCTCTTTTGTTTAGTGTTGAACTTTGTTTGGTGAACGTATATATAATCATGATGTTACCTTATTTTCATGATAAATAGTAAAGCCGAATAATTGTCTGGGTATGTTAAAATAGATGAAGAACATTGGCATTAAGAAAAAACGGGGCAATCCATTGTCATAAATTCATAAAAAGATATATATGCTTCAGACAGGGAAAAAGTGAATCGAATGTTTTTAATTAGTTTTCATGCAAACTAAACCTCCTATAAGGTGCAGATTGGCATGAGAATGATCCTCCACAAGTAGTCGGCCGGCGACCCCGTTGACGGCGGCCTGGGAGCCCGGGACAAAAGAAAAAGAAAAATCATATAATAATTGAGTTGAGTTTCGAACGGCCGAAAAACTCGCCTTATAAGAAAGGGACAAAATCAAGCTTGCCTTACTTAAATTATAGGTAAATTACACAAATCCCCATGTAATATACTAAATTTGTGTGTTATCCCCCTCTAATTTGAAAAATGCGTCAAACTCCCTTCTCTTGTACTTTGGCCAGCATACGCTCCCCAACTTATGTCTGGGTGTTAACACCGTTAAATTTTTGGTGAAAATCCCGTTATGCCCTTGTTACTTGAGAATTCAAACTCATCTGAAATTGGAATCATTTCTGACTTATGCCCATAGCAGATATAACTAACCTAGCACCAACAAACTGTTGGGTTCGATATACCCGTACGGAACAAATAATGCAGCGGAATTTAAAAA